TGTTTAAATCTCCTCTCCAGTCATTGGGACCTATAAGATATCCCATCATTTTCATTTTCTTGAAGGAGTCTCTCCAACATGAAGTACTTATCCTGTAGTCATCCTAGGATCTTGAGATTTTTCTTCATGATAATCTTAGGGATTCCTATTGCCTCTCTCTTGTGTTGTAGTTCCTGTGTCCCGGATCTAATGTCACCCTCTTTTTGGTTTATTCACTCATTTTGGTGGAATACCAGGGAACCTCCACAGTTTCCTGGGAAAGACTGCACACGAGATACATGTTTCTAGCTTATATATAATGTACCTATCTCTAAATATATATAAATAAAAATATATATAACATATATACACATACATACACACATATATACATATATACACCCTCTCCCAATTCCGATTATATTCTATCCCTCTAATCTAGAGGTAGACATGATCCTAAATTTTAGGTTAATTATTCCTTTGCTTCTCATTATGGTTTTTCTGACTACATATGTATCTTTAAACACACGGAACTTTGCCTATTCTTGAAGTGCAAATAAATGGAAGCATACTGCATGGTTTTTCTGTGATTGGCACATTTTGCTCCACATTGTTTTTGAGACCCATTCATAATTATGTGTAGAGTTGCAGTTCACTTGTTTTCACTGCTATAGTGTGTATTATTGTATGAAATAATAAAATAGGCAACACAGTTGGATCTTCTTTTTCGAAGTCTGACAATATCTGCTTTTTAATGGGAGTGTTTAGAACATGTATATTTAATGTAATTATTGAAATGGTTGGATTTAAATGTACTTCTTTGCTTTTTGCTATTTGCCTTGTAGCTTCTTTGTTCCTTTTTCTTCTTTTCCTGACTTCTATGAGTTTGAGTAGTTTTTAGTATTCCCTTTTATCTCTATTATTGGATTATTAGCTGTACATCTTTGTCTTTTTTAGTGCCTGCTTTAGAATTTACAATATGTATTTTAACATCACAGTCATCTTCAAATAATACTTGACATGTAATGTATGAACTATGTAACAGTATACTTCTATTTCTCCCCCTCTACCCTTTGTCCTAGTCATATATTTTAGTTTCATATATATTATAAATCTCACAATATAGTGTTATATCTTTGCTTCAAACAATTATCTTTTAAATATATTTTAAAAACAGAAAAATGTCTTTTATATTTACCTACTTAGTTACCAACCCTGGTGCTCTTCATTCCTTTGGGTAGAACCAAGTAGAGTTTCATCTGTTACCATTTTCCTTTTAACTGAAGAACTTCAACATTTCTTGTAGTGCACGTCTGCTGGCAAATAACTGTATTGGCTTTGTACGAAAAAGTCTATATTTTATTTTCCTTCAGAATCCTTTTTCTTGATGGGTCTATCTGCATAGTGACCTTTGACAGAAATATTAAAAGTCCTATTTGCTATTTTCCTGCAGCTACTCTTCTACTCCTAGACTCATCTCCAAGCCACGTGGAAAACTAAGAATAAGCCTCCTCTTGCTTTACCACCTGCTTTCCTGTGAATATGCGGCGGCCTGAAAATGAGTGCGAGCCGTTTGGTTGTTCTTAGTTTCCCATTTACCTACTCACATTTGTAGTTCTCACCTATCCAAGTGAATCATTTTGGGCAGAGCTCTTTAGAATTTTCTCCCTTAGCTCTTCAGGCAGACATCATATCTGAATTTAGAGGGTTTTTATGTCCCAGTTTCATGATGTCTGGCAAATAGTTTTTACAGAATATGTTTGTGGCCATTCTTTAGTCTTCATATTGATGGTTTTTTTTTTTTTTATTTTAATAAACTTTTTATTTGGGAATAATTTTAGATTTAGAGAAAAGGTACAAAGATAATAGAGTTCTTATATTCTCACCCAGATTCCCGTAATACTAACATCTTTCACATTATCATTGTACATTTGTCAAAATTAAGAAACCAACATTGGTACACTACTATTAACTCCAGACTTTCTTTGGATTTTGCCAGTTTTTCTACTGTCTTTTTGTGTGTGTTCCAGAATCCATAGATGGAGTTTTCTTCTGTTTTTGATTCCTTAGGTTCATCTTCGTTGTTTCATGAATGAGTGTTAAATATGTACTCCTTCCACCAAATTCACTGGTTAGCCCCATTACTTTATAAATCATGTACATTTCTATTGCCGAGAACCAGAGTCCAAATGTCTTGATGACACTGACAAGAGCAAATCACTAGAAATGTTAATTTTATATTTAATTTTTTTGCCATTAAAACCTTAATAAGTTTTTAAAAACCTAATGCAAATGCTTATTCGCCTATAAGTATTTTTATAGGATAATGCTCACTTGCCTGTAACTTTTAACTTTTATGCTTAGTTGTCAGTTTCTCCAAAATATGATGGCCCCTGCAGAAGTGATTCCAGACCTTCAGAGCTATGGTGAACTTTCTGAATTAACGGTAATGAACAACACCATGTTGTTTATTTTAGCAGTACATGATTGAAAACTGTTTTTGAACAGGAATTGCTCATCATAAATAATAAATTCTGAAAATATCTCCTAAGCAATTATGATGTGCTAGGTGCAGGTGGGGATACTACGGTAAACAAGTAAGACAGAATACTTAGCTTCGTGAAATGTAGAGTCAAACCCTGCTACTGTGGGGCCAGGCTCTTTCAGTCTTAGAGGTGATTAGCATCTAGGCTACCTGGATTCCATCTATGACATTCATTTGGAGGAGAGGAAGTTCTGACTGCTACTTGGCCATTATGACCAACCAAATCATAAACTCAGATAACAGGTTGACTCCTTTAATCTGAGAAATCTTTGAAAGTTCTCGGGGATATAAGCCACTATCAATTTTACACACAGACAACTTATTAGAGGCTGTATGTTAGGTATATTATGTTTGTCCCACCGTCTTACACAAACTTTGACTTAGAGGATTTTATTTTCAAAGGAAACCGCAAATGAAAGCAATCTTGAAGATTCAGCAGCTGTTAGTTGTACAGTGCCAGGTAAGGATTTTGAAGCAGCATATGGGATATAGATAGGTATGTATACTTTTTATATGGAGGGAACTTTAAAAGAGAGTATTTATAATTGTGCCTCCTTTTTTCTATCCTCAGAGATGGTCCAGGTTGAAGCCCAGTGGTTTCAGGAGGCAAAGAGTCTGAGTGAGCGACTGAGAGAAGCCTACACCAATGCCAGTTTCTGCCGCATGTCTTTGCTTGAGGTCTCTTCCAGTCTAGCCACTGACCATTCGTTGGGTTGTGATTTGTCCCTTGCTTCAAAACACGTTAGTAGTCCTGTGCAGGGGCCTGTGGTGTTGCCCGAGGTCTTTGCCAACTTGAACTCTGTCATGTGCGTGGAGGGTGAAGCTGGTAGTGGAAAGACAGTCCTCCTGAAGAAAATAGCTCTTCTATGGGCATCAGGATGCTGTTCCTTGTTAAACAGGTTCCAGCTGGTTTTCTATATCTCCCTTAGCTCTACCAGACTGGACCAGGGACTGGCCAACATCATTTGCAACCAACTCCTAGAGACAGAAGGATCTGTTACTGAAAAGTGCCTGAGGAATATCATCCAGCAGCTAAAAAATCAGGTGTTATTCCTTTTGGATGACTACAAAGAAATGCGCTCAGTCCCTCAAGTCATAGAAAAGCTGATTAAAAAAAACCACTCATCAAGGACCTGTTTGTTGATTGCTGTCCATACAAACAGGGCCAGGGACATCCGCCAATACCTAGATGCAGTTCTAAAGATCGAGGTATTTCCCTTCTATAACACCATCTATATGTTACGGAAGTTTTTTCCACACAATATGACTCGTCTGCAAAAGTTTATGATTCACTTTGGGATTAATTCAAGTTTACAGGGAATACAGAAAACTCCACTTTTTGCAGCAGCAGTCTGTGCTAACTGGTTTCAGTATCCTTTTGGCCAGTCCTTTGATGGTGTGGCCGTTTTCATGTCCTATATGGAATGTCTTTTCTTAAAGCACAAAACTTCGGCTGAACTTCTCAAAGCAACTGTGTCCTCCTGTGGTCAGTTGGCTTTGAAAGGGCTTTTTTCATCTTGCTTTGAATTTAGTGACGATGACCTTATAGAAGCAGGAGTTGATGAAGGTGAAGATCTAACCATGTACCTAATGAGTAAATTCACAGCCCAGAGACTGAGACCAGTCTATCAGTTTTTAGATCCTGCATTCCAAGAATGTCTTGCTGGGATGAGGCTGATTGAACTCTTGGATTCAGATAAGCAAGAAGATCAAGATTTGGGACGTTATTATTTGAAACAAATTAAGTCATCCATGATAACTATAAGTCCCTTTTGTAACAATTTTTTGCAGTATGTCTCCTGCTACCCTTCAACAAAGGCGGGGCCCAAAATTGTATCTCATTTGCTTCATTTGGTGGATAATGAGTCACTGAAGAATATATCTGAAAATGAAGACCACCTGAGGCACCGCCCAGAAAGTTTAGAGTTAGTGCAATTAATTAGGATGTTTCGTCAGTTATCTCCACATTACTCTTTAATGGTTTCAAAACAGGTGCTGGCTCTTGCCTTAAACATTGCCTATCAAAGCAACACTGTTGCTGCATGTTCTCCACTTATTTTGCAATTCCTTCAAGGGAGAACCCTGACTTTGGATATACTTAAATTACAGTATTTTTTTGACCACCCAGAAAGCCTGTTATTGTTGAGGAGCATACAACTCTCCATAAGAGGAAAAATAAGGTGTCCCGAAATGGATTTTTCAGTACTGGAAACATGTCTCGACAAATCACAGGCACCAACTATAGATCAGGACTGTGCTTCTGCTTTTGAACCTATGAAAGAATGGGAGCAGAATTTAGCTGAAAAACGGGAAAACATAATGAGATTTCAGGATATGAAGCTTAATGCACCACTAGACATCAGCACTGGCTATTGGAAACTTTCTCCAAAGCAGTACAAGATTCCCCTTCTGGAAGTCCACGTGGATGATAGTGATGGTGTCGACCAGGAGATGCTCAGTGTTCTAATGACAGTCTTCTCAGCTTCACAGCACATTGAACTTCATTTAAATAATAGCAGGGGCTTTATTGAAAGCCTCCGCCCAGCTCTTGAGCAGTATAAGGCCTCTTTCACCAAGTGCTCCATACACAAATCTGAGCTGAGTGCAGAAGAACAGGAACTGCTTCTCAACCTGCCTTCCCTGGAATCTCTTGCAGTCTCAGAGACAAGCCATGTACAAGGTATACTTGAGTATATTTTAGCTGGCTATTCTGATGGTAATTTTATTTGCTCACTCTTAGTTTTAGGTGGATAAAACTTCTGAAATCATGAAACCACAAATATTTGCTGATAGAACAGATATAAACCTTCACTAATTTGTCAGTAATAAGAATCGGTAAAAGGCCTCTAAATAGAATGCTTTTCAAACAACGCAGATAAAAATATTAACTAATGAATGTTAATAAGCTCTCAAAAATTTTATTAGTAAAAGAATGATTTATATGTAAAGATGGTGCTTGAGACTCACCCTCACTCTACCTGTTTAATGCAAGGAAGGACTTATATGCTCTGGGAAATAAATAAAAGGGAAAACTCTCCCATTTGTTTGCGTCACCTTTCACTTTTCCAAGCAATGTTTGAGAGTTTTCAGTGTAGGTTTATATTTTTCATTAAATTTATTCCTAGGTACTTCTGTTTTTTGAAACTTGTATAAATGATATATATTTTTTTTCATTTTCTAATTGTTTATAGTATGGCTTTGGTTTTTCAACGGGTTGTTACATGACTAGGTGCTTTGCTTTGTATACATGTTGCCTGAGGATCACTGAACATTTTTTGGATCTGTGGGTTACTTATCATCAAATATATAAAAAATTAGTTTGCCATTTTTAATACTTTTTATTATAGTGAAATACACATAAAACATTTTTCATCATCCCAAACAGAAACTCTGTACCTATTAAACAATAACTCCTTCCTCTCCCCAGCTACTGATAATGTCTATTCTACTTTGTCTCTATTGTCTATTCTGGATATTTCATATGAGTGGGATCATACAATATCTTGGCCTTTTGTGTCTGGCTTATTTTGCTTAGCATATTTTCAAGATTCTTTTATGTTATAGTACAAATCAGAACTTCATTTCTTTTATTGCTGAATAATATTCCACTATGTATATATACATATGTTTATCCATTCATCTGTTAATAGACACTTGCATTGTTTCTTCTATTTAAAAATTTTTTTTCAATAAATGTTTTAATGAGTATATTAATGCATAAATAATACTTTTTTCTTTTACAGAAACTTTTCTCTTAATTAAAGAAATGATTTTAATTATTTTTTTTCCCCTTTTTCTTCTAGCTCTTTTAAGTAATGCTGCTATGAGTATTGACATACAGATATCTCTTTGATACCTTGCTTTCAATTCTTTTAGATATATACCCAGAAGTAGAATTGCTGGATCATATATTGAGGTACTTCCAAACTGTTTTCCACAGTAGCTGTACTATTTAATTTTGAGGTACTTCCAAAGTGTTTTCCACAGTAGCTGTACCATTTAATTTTGAGGTACTTCCAAACTGTTTTCCACAGTAGCTGTACCATTTTACATTTCCATGAGCAATGTGCAGGAACTCCAATTTCTCCACATCCTCATCAATGCTTGTTGTCTTTTTAATCATAGTCATCCTAGTAGGTTGAAGTAGTATTTCATTGTGGTTTTGATTTGTATTTCCCTAATGACGATGTTGAACATGTTTTCATGTGCTTATTTATTAGCTGTTTGTGTCTTTTTTGAGACATGTCTATTAAGTCATGTTTAAATTGCGTTGACTTTTTTGTTCTTTGTATATTCTAGATAGTAAATCCTTATTTGCTGTACAGTTTGAAAACATTTTCTCCTATTCTGTAGATTCTTTTCAATGTCTCAATGATGTCTTTCAGTGAACATAAGTTTTAAATTTTGATGAAGTCCGATGTATTTATTTATTTATTTTTGCTAGTGCTTTTGGTGGCATATCTAAGAATCCATTGACAAATCTAAGGTCATGAAGATTTTACCCCTATGTTTTCTTCTGAGAGTTGTATGGGTTGGCCCTTATATTTAGTGTGTTGATCCATTTTGAGTTAATTTTATACACGGTGCTGGGAGGTAGGGTCCAACTTCATTCTTTTGCATTTGGAAGTCCAGTTGTCCCAGCACCACTTGTTGAGGTGACGTCTTATTCTTGTGAATCCAGAGAGTAGCACAAGTCTCCCCACATACAAAGGTATCCAAGTAAATGCTGCATGTAGCAGTATCTTCATATATGTACTTTCTAGAAAATGTTTTTGGGTATATGAAAGGCTTTCATTTGAAAATATGAAAATGCTTAATGAATCAAAATGAGTTCCAAATTTTCAATCTGGAACTCCTTAAATTAATAATAAAAAACTGTGTGTTGGTTTCCAGATCAACTCTTTCCTAATCTGGACAAGTTCCTGTGTCTGAAAGAATTGTCTGTGAATCTGGATAAACAAAATGTTTTTTCAGTCATTCCTGTAGAATTCCTAAATCTCCACCATATGGAGAAATTATTGATCCAAATTTCAGCTGAGGCTGGTCCTTCCAAACTAGGTAAGTAGGCGTGGCGCTTTGATTTACTTGTTTTTATATCACTTGGAAAAAGTTCTTGACCAATAATTCACTTGAGTTAAAGCTTTTGTGGATGTGTGTGTGTGGCCTGTATCCATGGTAAATTGAATAGCATTTTCAATAAGAATGCAGAGAGCTATCTGTAATTATTGAGACTTTACTACATGCTAGGTATTGTTCCAGGTACTTTACCAATATTAATCTTCATATTCATTAACCTTCATATCATTTAACCTTCATATCCATTCTATGAGGTAAGGTACTATTATTCTCACTTTATGGCTGGGGAAATTGAGATATAAAGAAGTTAGTAATTTAAGGACACCCAGCTAATGAAATGGTAGATCTGTGATTCGAACACAGGAATTCTGACTACTACTAAGTGTGTGCTCTTAACCACTGGTGTACTGGTTCTCCAAAATAATTTGTAGTTATTTTAAGTTGTTTTTACATTGTAACTTACAGATCTGCCCAATTAAGTAGAAGGAAATATGCTGATTGGTAGTGATTGGAAGCATGTCCCTGTTTTCCTTACCAGCCTATCCTCATGGTTGGTTGATGAGCAACTTGTGCAGCCATCTTTCTTAAATATATCATTTAGAAAAATGACTTAGGCATCATCAATTCCTTAGTTTAATAGACTGAACACTAAGGACTGAAGAAATGTAAATTTTATGGAATTGGCATGCAGAGTTGCATGCAATAGAATTCACTAAAACTGGTAGTGGAAGTTTTCTTACATTTGTCAGCAATTTTCACATCAAATTAGGTTTTGTTTCAGAATTGTCATTGCATTTATGTTTCTTTGTATAGTATTCCTATTGTGTAAATGTCATGTGCAAACTTAGAGATGTTAGGATGTTAAAGCTGAAGGTGACTTTACTGATTCAATGCCCTTATTTTACAGAAGAGAGAACTCTTCTGTAATCCCCAAAAAGGGGTCAGTAACTACATGTCCAAGTTCACATAGCTCGCTAGTTCGTTGCAGACCCTGAACCTAAGCTCAAAGTGGCCTGATTCTTGGATCATTACATCATGGTGCTTTAATTCAGTGTTGTTGAACCAAAATAATTATGTGGCTAATCCTGATACAAATTTGCAATCTTCTCTAATTTCTTAAATCATTGATATTTTACAGTTAAATTAATTCAGAATTCTCCAAACCTTCATGTTTTCTGCCTGGAATGTAATTTTTTTTCGGATTTTGAGTCTCTCATGACTGTACTTGCTTCCTGCAAGAAACTCAAAGAAATTAAGCTTTCTGGAGCATTTTTTAAACCCATTCCATTTGGTAAGAACTGTAATCATAAAATTTTGTTTAGGATGCTTCTGTGGACACAGTCGTTTTAAGCACTTTTAAAAAAATATCCAAATTTTAAACATGCAGTTGATGCCAAGGAACAAAACTATTATAATAGATATCTGATCTTAAATGAATTATCAAATAAGTTACATTTGTTTCTAGAAGTTTAAATATTTCTAGTTATCAGAATTATTTCCTGAGCAAAGATTTGTTTTATCTAGTCATGCTAATTAATTCAATCTGAATTACTGTATTAATTTTTGTCACTTAAAAAATATTCTTTAATACATTACTTTTTGGTTTAAGAGATATAGTTGACATAACTAGATTTTTGTTTTCCCTTTTACAGTCCTCGTTTTGCCAAATTTTATTTCTCTGAAGATATTAAATCTTGAATTCCAACAATTTCCTGATAAGGAAATATCTGAAAAATTTGGTATGTTTGCAAAACAGTGCCTTTTACTTATTCTTTATTCTCATCTCCACAAAACCCTTCATCTATTTTGCATTAGTTACAATAAATCATGATATATATTAGCTTCCCTAGCTAATTAGAAGGAAGGGACAGTGCCGCTGAGCTTTTACTTTCCAAATGTCTTGATCTCACTCGATCTCATTCAAAGCAATGTCCTCAGAGTGCCTTATTTCTTAGAACCCATATATGTTATTACAGGAGTATGTAATTTCATTGTCAGGTATCCATTTCAAACATGTTAAGTCTGTGTTGTTTAAAAGGCTTCTGAGATATAAAGAAAACCATCTTTAAGGTTAAGAAAACTCAGTATATAAAAACCTGGATTTAAAAAAATTACAGAAAGAGCCTACTTTATTTTTTGATTACAAAAGTAACAGATGCTCATAGAAAAAAAATTCTGACAGATGTTAAGATAAACTGAGGCATATTAAAAGTTTTAAGCATTTATTTGAGCAAAATGGATTTGAATTGGGCAGCTTCCATCTACTTTCTAGCAGATAGAAAGGAGCTCTGAGAAGCTGTATAGAATGACTTATAGGCAGAAGGGAGGAGGGACAGGAATTTATACTAGGTAAAAAAGCAGGTTGATTATTGCAAGGTTACTTCTCTGTAGGGGATGGCAGGGGTCTATCAGGATGATTACCTAATTAGTGCTGCTCAGGCAATTTCTGATTGGTTTGATTCCATTTATGGAAGAGCCAAAACTCGAAATCTTGGTTTGGTGACATGGGGCTTGGCATAAGCAACTCCATTTTGGGTTTCTTGTTCCATTTTTAACACAGGAAAATATAAGGTGAATCAGTGAAGATAAGGACTGTTGAGCAGTAGTGCTTCTCAAACTTTGGCATGCTTAAGGATCACCGGGATCTCTTCCTTTTCCTGTCTTTTCTTCCTTTGGAGGTAGCCACGTGGGTGGGGGAGGAGCACAAAGGCTGAACAACCAAGGAGGTTGTTATATACAACAGGTTCATTAAGCAAGTACACTGAGTATAATGAGAGCCAAGTTTCCTCACTGTTAAAGAATTTATGAACATTGAAAGGGGAAGCTAGAAAGAATTTTGAGGTATTAGAACTGGAAATATTGGTGTAGACTCATGGTTTTTAACCTATTCACACAAATAGATCAATATACACATATATGTAGATATCCATTTATCTCTATATATATCCATACACACACATACATACGTATTTCTCAGCTCAGTCAACTGAGAGACTAGAAGGCACCTTAATAGCAATGAGCACACCAAACACCCAGGTCTTGACTTCTGAATACTGGCTTCCCTAAAAGGAACCAAGGTTCTTGGAGAAATGTAGGATATAAGAATTGGGACAAGGAAAGTAAAAGATAAGTCTGGAACATTGTTTTATGCTAGAAAGTGTTCAAAACATTTTCACGTGTGAGGCCTCAAATAGTTTTCTAGGCATCAAGTGATCCATAATGTTGCGGCAAAGGAGAGATCAAAGTGAAAGGGAAAGCTAGGAGAGTGGTGGACTGTGAGGTTTTAATGCTGGGAGGTAGATGTAGAAATCACTGAAATAGCGGCCGAGGTGGGATTGAAAGGAAGCGGGCTGAAGGAATTGAGGAGCTAAGGAGAGTATCCTGGAGGCCCACGGAAGCTTCGGTCTAAAAGAGGAAATGGTATGTGATAGGCATTCTGGATTCTACTGCAGAAAAGACTGAATGGGGAAGGGTAGAGGAATGGTTGCCCAGAGGTAGCAATGAAAATTAAGGTGTAGGCTGACCCCTTTCCCTTGCCTTTGGAGAGGAAGAGGAACAGCCTCTCTGCTACCTGGGGCGTGCATAATTTGGAGGCTGTAGATTACCGTTGTTTGGGAATACAGTATGGAAAACAGCTTTTTTCCCCTCTTCCAATAGCCTATACTTTAAGCTCTCTTAATAACCTGGAAGAACTGATCCTTCCTACTGGGGATGGGATTCAGCAAGTGGCCAAACTGATCATCCAGCAGTGTCAGCATCTTCAATGTCTCCGCGTTCTCTCATTTTTCCAGACTTTGAATGATGACAGTATAGTGGAAATTGGTGAGTTAACCTCAAATAGAATGTTTTAGCCTGCATGAAAGCCGGTTATATTATTCAAGTTTTCTGCAGCAAAATGTCTATAAAAACTTTTGTCTCTTTAAAACTTTTCAATCTACTTCTTTAATTTCACTATCTTATTGTTCCCTCTTATGTCCTGTGGATTTAGGTTCACTGTGGCCAGATTTGGAAGTAAAAAATGGTCTCTCATTTGAGACTACATAGACTCTCAAGTCTGTATTCTTGGCACCTAGCATTTCAGATGCCTGGTGACATACCTTCCATATACTTCTTTTTAAAGTATTTTTTCAAATTGTTAATTCACATACAGAAAAGTACACAAATCACAAGTGTGCAACTCAATGAATTTTAATTTTTTCAGTACCTATCTCTAAAGGTAGTCATGCTACAGCCATGGATTCCAGAGTGAAACCAAAACTAACATTTGCCTAAACTAGGAAAAAGATTTAGCCATTAAAAACAGAACAAAAACTGTGCTAGGAATCCACTTCCAAAGTCAAGTCAACCTAATTGAGGACTTACTGTATGCTGGGCTGTCATATCCTTCAGAGCCCTCAGTAAGAGGAGGAGCCCTTCTGGGCAACAGGTGAATAGCAGCAGTGAGAAGACATGGTTTGAGAATGTCATTTCCTACTTTTCATAAAAGGAGAGATGTGGTTGCCACAATCTCTAATGTCCTTTGTAATAGTCTGCTTCTTAGACATGCTGCACTTTGACATTTATCCTCCTGTGAGACCAAAAGAGAAGTCCAAATTTGCACAGAATGACAACTCTCACAGCAAAAGTAGCTTCAGTGCTCTAAGGCAGGGGTCCCCAATCCCCAGGCCATGGACCAATACCAGTCCGTGGCCTGTTAGGAATTGCACTGCACAGCAGGTGAGCAGTGGGTAAGCAATTGAAGCTTCATCTGTATTTGCAACTACTTCCCAGCCCTAGTATCACCACTTCAGCTCCACCTCAGATCATCAGGCATTAGATTCTCATAGGAGCACCAGTCCCTGGTGCTAAAAAGGTTGGGGACTGCTGCTCTAGGGCATAGTTTTACTTCTCTGGTTTCTGCTTCTCACTTGAGTTTTGGCCAAGCAGTTATTATTAGCTCTTTGGGATTTTTAAGGAGCTATTTAAAAAATATTTTATTTGGCATTTTCTACGTTCAGTGGTGGTAGTGTTCAAATAACCTAGTCTACCATTATTTAAAAAAAAAAAAAGTCTATGATTCTATTCTCACAAATGTTTTGTCTTTATAGCCAAGGTAGCAATCAACGGAGGTTTCCAGAAACTTGAGAACTTAAATCTTTCAATCAATCACAAGATTACAGAGGAAGGATACAGAAATTTTTTTCAAGCACTGGACAACCTGCCAAACTTGCAAGAGTTGACTATTTCCAGGAATTTCACAGAATGTATCAAAGCTCAGGCCACAACAGTCAAGTCTTTGAGTCAATGTATCTTACGGCTCCCAAGCCTCATCAGACTTAACATGTTAAGTTGGCTACTGGATGAAGAAGACATCACACTGCTTAATTCCATGAAAGAGAGACATCCTCAATCTAAATATTTAATTATTCACTGGAAATGGGTACTGCCATTCTCTCCAATTATTCAGAAATAGAAGATTTAGCTAAAACCTGCTCAATCAAAAAAATTTTTGTCAACAATTCTAAAAACCTAATTATCCAAAAACATTTTAAATATTGTATTCAAAAGAATATAAAATATGTAAGGCATGTAAGAAAAACTGCTTGCTTATCACTGAGCTTAAGAAATAGATTATTACCAGTACCTCTGCAGTCCCTGAATGATCCTCCCCAACTAAAGATCAGCTCTCTATCATCTAGGATCAGTACTGTTTCCATTCTAACTACGGTAAAGAGTAACAAACAGGAAGAGGGTTGGGGGAAGTCTACCAATCTATCTTAAAGCAACAATATGGAAGTAGTAATCAAGTTATATATCAAATGACTAACTTCAGGGTTTAATCAGTTTCACAGTTAAATGTAAGAGTTCACTTTAACTTCAGTGAATCTTTTGTGGGCAAAGAGGTACTCCTTAATCCTTGTAGGACCTGTTTTGTATATTTAACTGGTATAGTAGAGTTTACTTATACCTTCCTTTTATCCATTGCCAATGTGAAGAACAAATAGGATTTAGGGAAAAATGCTTTTTTTTCCCAGAGGCTTTTGATTCAACATTAGTTGAATCTAAGCAAAAAATGCAGAATAGAATTTAGCATTACTAGAGATTAGCTAAATTTGTGTTCTCTAGAAAATTGAGTCAATGTTTTTTTAGATAACCATGTTTGAGAATTTAACATACGCTATAATGGCCTTAGAATTTTCTTATAAACCCACTCTGCTTGGGGAGAACAAATTCTGTCTCTGCAGTGACTTCATATGGCTCAAGGTATTACATTTAATGTGGATGTCTACATCTATGTCTGTGTCCAGAATTTCACTTCTACCAATTAAGCAGATGACCATTCCCAATACATGATGCTGGTATAAGTTAAAAATTAGGTAAAATTTGATAGAATGTTTTTTCATTTTTACCAAGGTAAAAGCCAATCCTTCCCTCCCATCCCATATATAAAACATACAGACAGTATATATGGTGTGATCCCATTTGTTAAAAAAATACACTCATTTCTAGATGCATTAAGAATTTTTGAAAGAATACACAAGAAAATGTTAATAGTGGTTAACTCTAGGAAGGGGACTGGACAGCATTCTTTCTACTTTTTCCTTTTGTTTTACAAGTACTTGTACTATTTTTATATTTGAAATAAAATATAAAACTAGTTTAGCATTGCAATATTAAGAGAAGCTACCTTTAGGAGAGATTACTAGAAGGGCAAGATGGGTTATCTGATTTTATGTGTAATACTTTTATAATCAGAAAGGTTTAAAGTATTATAGTCCAATCAGGAGACAAACTACATAGTAATCTGAATGGGTAATGTTTACTATAAAGTTATTAACTGTAACAGGAATTAAGAGACCTCTAAGCAGATATAAAAAACAGGCTATAGGCTCTTCACCCTAGGCTCAGACTGAGCACCCAAAGAATGAACCCCAGGGCTGAGATACAGACCTCCAATGGAAAGGGCACAGCCATGGATAACAGAGGCTTGCTGAGGCTGCAGACTTGCAGCCTGAGGAGGTGTTAGCTTGGGGTACCTTTGCGGAGAAGGTACCTTGGGTGTGTCAGGGGAAGCCATTCGTGTGGGAGTACAGTGTGCTGCTAGCCACTGCTAGAACCAGGTACTGCATGATGTGTGCCGCGTTGGAGCTGGGTGCCACACAACACGTGCTGCAGGGATCTGCTAGAGGGGCACACTGGAACCAGGAAAAGAAGTCCCTTGTTCCGGTAGTGCTCACCAGCACCCTCTACTGACAAAGCTTTATTTTACACTGTGCCTGCTGACAGGGGTGAGTGAGGTATCTATGGGGTCCAGATCCATCCTTGCAGAGCGGGCGATGAAGGCTGGATTTTGACATGAGAGGCAATAACTTGATAACTGGTACAAGCATTACTTATTTAATGGTTCAGATTTAAACAAAGAAGAACTTAAATATCTTAAGACTGATTGGTTATATGCCCGTGCATGTTTAAGCATTCACAGAAAACTTCTTAAATGATATGTAAGAAACTGGTAATGTTGACTGACTTCCGGAAGGAGACCAGGATAGCTAGACAAAATGAAAAAGTAGAAAGAATGCTGTCCAGTCCCCTTCCTAGAGTTGACTGACTTCCGGAAGGAGACCAGGATAGCTAGTGGACAGGGGAAGGAAGGTTTGCTTTATTCTCCTGCATATCCTTTTGTACAATTTAAATTCTGTACCACTTGCATGTACTACTAAAAATGATACTTTAAAAATCATCAGGACTCCATGCAAATGATTCATCCATAGCTTCTGCTAAGGGCCTCTAGTATAAAGCTGGGGTCACCAAATGATGGGCATAGCCTGTACAGCCTATGAGCTAAGAATGGTTTTTAAAGGCTTAAAATATATATTATTCCTCTTTAGGACTCCTAGGTCTTCTCTCATTGCCCTGACACCCTTATGTTTCTAAACTTCTTTCATTCTGATCACATTTCTGAACCCTAACTCCCTAAATCTTTCCCCTGTGCCCACACAAGTAACATGCCCTATATCCTCAACCTCTTCTCTGAACGTTCCCTGCATCTTTTTGTTCTAACTCCACTTTTTTTCAAATTTTTTAAGCCGGAACCCAAAGAAATAAATTGTTAAAAAATTTAAACATTTACATATGTATACACAAAAATAACTTTCTAAAAAAGCTATATCAAATATTTTACGAATATCCAAATACAACAAAATTCCTTGTAAGAGTTGTTTGTATGCACTATCTTCAACTGTTTCCTTTCTTACATTTTCCCCCACCAGGCTTTAACCTCCTCAATTCCTCCAAAACTGCTCTTATGAGAGTCATCAATAACCTCCACATTGTTATATGCAATGAATACTTCTCAGTCCTCATCCCATCTGACTTGTTAGGAGCATATGACCTATCAGTAGCTTTGATGTGATCCATCACTTCCTCCGCAACACTCCATTCATTTGGCTTCCAGGGCATCCCTCCTGGGTTCCTTCCTAACTCAGTGAGAGTTCTGGTTCCTTTGCTGCTTCCCATATCTGATCTCTAAACATTAGGAGTACCCCAAAGTTCTCTGATATCTTTATTAAATGTACTTCCTTGGCTATCTCATCTTGTTGAATGGCTTTAAATTCAATGTCTATGCTAACTTCTAAATTTTCATCTTTAGCCCAGATCTCTCAAGTCTTTACTCATATCCAACTCCTATTACAGGGCATCACAAATTCGTATGTCCAAAACCAACTCCTATCCTTCCTTTCCACCAAAGCGCTCTTTATTCAGACTTCTCCATCTCATTAAATTCCAACTTTATTCTTCCACTAAACTTTGGCTATAGTCCTGATTCCTCGCTTTCACACTTCACACATTATCTACTGGCAAATCCTGAGTTCCATTTGCAAAATATCCTCATATCCAACCACTACTACCCACTGGTCTTAACTAGTTGCTCTGCTTCCTCCCTTGAAACTTTATGAACTATTTTCAACATAACAGTCAAAAATCTCTTTATAAATCGGACCATCTGCACCTTTGGTTCCAAACCCTCCAGTGGATCCCAGCTCAAAGTGAATGAAGACAATGGCCTACAAATGACCCCTGGCTACCCGACTTATCTCCATCTCTTTAATTTCTCCTCCTTGCTCACTTCCATTCAGCCACAGGCTGGTTTCTTTGCTGTTTCCTGAACATGCTAAACATGCTCTTGTTTTAGGGCCTTTACACCTGTCATTTCTTTCGCTTTGAAGGTTCTTCCTCTACTTATGTAAATGGCTCTAATTTCCTTCAGATCTCTGCTCAAATGTCACCTCAATGAGTTTTCTGATCTTTTTAAAAAAGCATCCCCATTTTCAATGTCATTCTGCCTAACCCCTATCTGTGCTTCGCTTTTCTCTACAGCATCTATCACTATCTGCCACCTTATAAAGTTCGCTTTCTTACCCCTAGCTAGTTCCTACTACGGTAAGCAGGAACTTTCATCTGTTTTGTTCACTGCTGTCTTCCAAGCACGTAGAATAGTGCCTAGCACACAAAGTTAAAGACTTGCTGAAAAGATTTTCCTGAACCTACAACCACTCCTCAGCTGCATTAGGTATTAAGGGAGGTAACATCCAAAACTATCTTAGAAAGCAAATAAGTGGGCTTCACAACTAAATTTAACCTGGCATATACTTAGGCAACTAAAATATACTAAATATATAAAATATTGGCTGATTGTCAAGAAAAATGGTAAAATTCCACTTACCTGTACAAGAAAGTTTAAACCACAGAACATCTCATTCTGCTAGGCTTACTTACCACACATTGGACATTCATTTATTCAACAAATATGTACTGGGTAGCTACTGATATGCTAGGCACATTTGGTTTTCCCACATAAAACATCTGAAAGAAATAGCATTTATCATATTATCCTCTTCTCCTGCAGCTAAATGGACTAGAAGGAATCCCAGATGCCATGGACCTCAGACTAAACTAAAACAACATAGTCTCCTACCTCTCCTGCAAATTTGAACTGAGAGATACAGATATAGCCAAACAGAGAGATGAAACTGCAAGGTAGAGATGAAGAATGAATGGCATGGGCAACCACGTTAGGCAGTGTGCATGATGAGGATGCGGAAGGGTCCATGTAGAGAGGCAGACAGACAAAAAAAGGTGCAGAGAGGAGAATGACAATATGATTTCCAAGAAAAAATCTTGGTTTCTGACTGGCCAGGTTCAGTCCCTGTGACACTGAGCTTCAGCTATTCTTTGTTTTCTAACTTTGGATTATCAGCAACATTGTTTTACAACTGGTTGTATCTTTATAGTACTACTCCCTTACCCAAATAAGCCTGAGTAATTTTCTTTTTACAGACTCCACCTCACCACATACATTCCAAAGAAAAATATTCAGATAGTCAAGATGTAAAAAAAATTAACATTTATTTTTAAAGGCATTAATAAAGGGCTTAACATACTTAGAAAGTTACAGTATACTAATGTGCTCAATCGCAATATTGACAGATTGACTTTTCGGAACTATACATGACCTTGAGTTTGTTTTATCCCTTACTTTTCCATTGTTCAGTTATTCAAAGTGATTATTCCCTAGAAATACCTGGCTGATTATTTAAGCATGAGCCACATGTAACAAGATGAAATGCAGATGACTATGCCAATCAAGTGTTCATGAAGAAAATGATGAAAACTTTGTTCACATCGACCAGGACACATCAAAATACCCTTCTCCTTGGGAGAGACCCGCACCTGAATTTCAAAGAAAAAAATGTCTAGATACAATTACAAAATTTAAAAATGTATTTTCTTACAAAATCGTAGAGGAGAAAATGGAAAGCAATACACTCATTGAAGTTAAGTAAAACTAGAATAAAAATCTGTGAACATAAAGACTTAATGTAGTATTAATTTCGATCTTTATGGGACATGTTAAACAGACAAATTGTGAAATTCATTTGGAAGGGTAAATGAACAAGAATATTTTTTTAAAAATTTAAGCACTGGTATTTAATCAGTCTTAACAGAATTTAAAATATTACAAAACAATGATCAAAACTGTTTTAAAAACGATAGTGATTACAACAATGCATACGACATCCTCCAACTACAATATAAAACTAAAAAGTATTCCTAACTACCCAGAAATTAAATTCTGGAGTTGGAAACAAACCTATCTAGAAATTTGATAGGTTATCTAGAAA